CATATGTTTAAGAACCACTTGTTTCCTTTATGTATGGTTTCACTGTTTTCCCCATTAAGTTCTTCTTTTATCAGTTTCTAGGAACTCTTTACATATCAAGGAGCTTAGTAACTTTGGGATAAGAATGGTTGAGAGGAGGTGCTACTATCTGATTTTCAGGTCAAAGGACTTAAAAACTGCAGTCTACTTCCCCGCTTCAATTCGACTATTTGTAGATCATTTCTCTACTCTTACTTCTTAGTTTCCCCTCCTCCAAATCAAGAAGGAGATTAAAGTGCTGGACATCCCAAGGACCACAGATGTGACCTTCTTCTGTTTCCTCCACCTTAGCAGGATGTATTGAGCTGGATGAGATACTAAGAGTCAGGTCTTTTGAGTCAGACAGGAATGGGATCAGGATTAGCGGTACGGGTAGAATTAGGGTGAGGGTTAGAGTCCTTGGGAATTTACATTTCACAAGAGAATCAGAAGACTCTGATGTATTTGACTGGTTTGGGAAGCCCTGGATTTAGAGGATCCCTTTTAGCGCAAAGAATTCTTTACTCTTGGAGAATACTTCCTGTGCCAGGGTTCAGCACGAATGAGTCATGGTGTCTGTTTTCTATGGTAAGATCATTTGCAGGGATGAAAAGTTACCATTTCACATCATCTCCCATCCAGAAATATTCCTTTCGCCAACATCCACATCTAGAGGCTCAGAGGAAATTAAACAACTTATCCAAGATCGCATAGATACTTAGTGGTCAAAATGTGTCCTCTGAAGCACCTGTAGTGCCAGCTCACTCCTAAAGAGCTCTGAAATCAGGCTGACATGGGCATGAATGCCCAGCTCTCTAGAAACGTGGCACTAGTTAAGTGACTTTACTTTTGAGCCTCAGTTTCTTCATCTGTTAAATTGGCCAAAGAACATCAACCTTATAGGCGTTGATGAAAATGAGATAATGCTTCAAAATTCCTAGCATAGTGTCTGGCACATAGAACTGACACTCAATAAATGATATTCATTGTAAGCTGTCATAGACAAGCCAGGGGTGTAAAACTCAAATGCCTAGGATGGCCAAGTAGATTATTATACACATGCGAAGTAAGGAGTGATAGGGGGTGTGCTGACCTGAAGAATTTATGTCTCCTCTAAAGGCATCCAAATGAAAATCTTCTTAAAAACCATGGGTCAAATAAAATATATCTGAACTTAAAAATACAACAAACTAGTGAATATAACAAAAAAGAAGCAGACTCACAGATACAGAGAACAAACTAGTGGTTACCAGTGGGGAGAGGGGAGAAGGGAGGGGCGAGACGGAATTAAGGCATTAAGAGGTACAAACTATTATGTGTAAAATAAGCTACAGGGATATACT